TTTTGAAATTAAGCTCATTTCAATTTTCTCTTAATATATCCTATTAAGAAATTTTTTTTGTGAAATGGCAATGTTTATTTATTTCATTTTTTAAGTTCTTAGTCAGCAACCTTATGTTGGTCTCCTTTAAAACTTTTCTTGATCTGTGAAGTCCTGAAAATCACTGTTGTAGACTAAGTGAGCACAAAAATTTTGGAGGTGAGAATAGGTGAAAGCTGTAATCCTATCCCTAAGATAACATGTTTTATAGACTCCTTGAAAACTTTTTATAGAGCCCAGTTAGGAAACTCTCCTGGCCATATTGGTGCAATTTTGATAGTTTTTTGAACCAGTTATTCACATCTGAATGCTTGTTTTATACTGGGCTTGGGGGCTACAGTGACGATGGACACAGTCAAAGTTCTCAAGGATCTCACAATCATGTGAAAAATATAGACAAAAAGTTATCATTTAGTGAGAAAGATGCTACTGTAAGATATAATCAAGGTGACCTTAGCAAGAGATTTTAGTGAAGTGGTAGGGGTGGAGGGCAAGATGGCAGTGGGTCGAAAAGTGAATGGTGAGATAGTGAGGATGGGAGATAGCTGTGAAGGAAGGGATAAGAAGGGATACCTGGAAGTGAGCGTAGAAGACCAAGAGAACAGTTTATTTCCAAAAGAGACCTGAGAAAGGTTATATCCTGTGGGGAGTCAGTCTCTAATGGGTGAGAGGTTGAAGATACAGGGGAAATAGTGTAAACAGTTGTCAGTGTGACTCTAAAATGGAAAGTGATCAAATCCCCAGCATAGATTGAGAAATTAGCTTTGGGAAGAAAAAGATCTACTCTACACAGTAGGAACGGCACAGTGGTTATTCAAACAAATTGAGAGTCTGTCATCTTTAAGTGGAGGTGAGGTAGTTTGCTGAGCATGGCAGACATGGGTAGGGTGGAGGGCTTGTGAAGAGCCATGGTAGGAAGTAGGAGAGGCTTGAGACTAAGGGGCACGTAAGAGAGGGGTATTTGACAGCAGGGAATTCCCACTGAGTTTGAAGGTCATGAGTTTTATTGTGTAGGAACAGAAAGATAGGTAGATGGATTAATCCAGAATGGGATCTGAGTTGGAAAGGGAAAGAAATAAAGGTTTTGGGAGGGTGTTGATAATAGAAAATATAAGGGTCCAGGAACTTTAGGTTTCAGTATAAGGAGACAGAAGACATGAAAGGGTAGCGGTTCAGAGAATCGAAGGCAGAGTATGAGTCTTTGGATCAACTTCTCAACAAACTAGTTCTGGGTCATGATAAGAAAATAATTTTTAGGCATAACTGTTCTACTATTGGTCATTTTCTCTTTCACTTTCTTTTTTTTTTTTTTTTTTTTCTAAAGATGACCGGTAAGGGGATCTTAACCCTTGACTTGGTGTTGTCAGCACCACACTCTCCTGAGTGAGCCATGGGCCGGCCCCTCTTTCATCTTCTTATGGAACGTGATAAAGCATTTAAGATGATGTTTGTCTTTTGATCCATTAAGTAATCAAAATAAATAGTTCCTGTGTTTGAACTAAGAGGAACATCTCAGGCTGTTCAAGTGTCTTCAGAGCTTTGGCCATAATGCCACCTGAGCAAGTGTAGGTAGATGTGAGCTCTTGACAGAAAATTGTAACCCTCTCTTTAAAATCTTATGTACATAATTAAATAACACTTTTTATTTACCGTAATAAATAGCTCCTACACATTAGGTTAGAAAAGTTTAGTATGTTTAGCAGTCTTTCTGTTATGAAGCTGTATAATAAACATGGACGGTTTCACTTTTTTTTTCCTCAGATGAAAAAACTAAACAGTATTAGAAAAATGAGCACCTTATTCTGGAGTCTGGGAAGCCAGAAAAGACCTCAATAAATTAATTATATATAAACAGTATAGTGGGCTTTAGTTTTATTTATTTTTCATGGGAGAAACAGAGTTGAAAATGCCCTTGACTCATTCTTTCAGTATTAAATTATGCATTTAATCTTAGAGAACTCTGAGTGATGCCATAAAATATGCTGATTTGACCTCCTTAAAGAAAGTGCATGGGAAAGTAGCCATTTGGAATAGATTTGTTAAGAAAAGTTTGAAATTCCTGGACTTAAACTAATTTGTTTTCCATGGATCCCATGAGGATACTTGCAAAACCAGATGATAGGATACAGTTGGATCCTGTGAATGGCAGTAGTTTACAGTTATGTTTTCTGGATCTTTTCCATATGTTGCTGGCTTCTTTGTATTTGACCATGTATGGATGCACAGAATTTCATAGGCCAAAGAAAAGCTTTATACACAGACTCTATAAAGTATATAAAAGTCTCCAATTTTCTTATCAAGTCAATAAGTAAGTTGTTGAACTGATTTTTTGTGTGTATGTGTGTGTGTGTGTGTGGCAATTAAGTTGTTGAACTGATTTTTTTTTTTTTTTTTAACGAGGAAACATCTTAAAATTTAAGCTGTTATGTTAAGGTGTGGATTAGTATACAGCATATTACAGAAGGTAAAATCAGCTTTGTTTAGTAATAAAGGAACCAGAAATAGTTTAAAGTAAAATCGGGAGATGATTCATGTAGAATACACCAACTATATTTTGCATCAGTTTCTACATTTCTATGTCATTTAAAAGAATTATTAGGTAGAGGGGTGTATGATTACTTTGGATATTTCTGCTTCAGTGACGGTTATCATAAATAAACAACCTGTTTTTATGAAGGAGATGGGAGTGAATTCAATATATATATTGAGATGTTAGATATGACCAGGTTATCCTTTGGCTAGAGGACCACCAGATAAAACGTGAACTTCCTAAGCCAGATGAAATGGTATAATTTCATTAAAAATTTTATCATTAAAATTTTTTTAGTTATGATATCTAATACTGATTAATCTGATTATTTTCTCTGAGTTATTTTGCTTCCCTAATATTATTAGGGTAACTTGATATCAGACAAGCTGTTATCTTAGTTGTGTGGTATATAACAGTGGTTTCTCAAATAATGTGCATCGATCATTGATATAAAGAGGATCAAAAAATATTACAACTCTTATGTTTACTTTCTTCATCTATAGAGAAATTAATATGCTTTGACATTTAATATTCTGATTACCAATAGTATGTATTTGGTAGACAAGTAAATATACTTATATTTAAGATGTTCAAAATTTCACTAATGTTTTATAACAGGATCAAAGCAATTTGAAGAATATTGATCTAAAGGATAAGACCTTGGCCTCTTAATTTTCTGAAAGATAAGAAGCCCCTCCATAGACATGCATGTCCATATCTCAGGCAATATTTTTCAGTTTTAATAAGTTTTGTTCTTTTTTTTTTTAAGATGACCGGTAAGGGGATCTTAACCCTTGACTTGGTGTTGTCAGCACCACGCTCTCCCAAGTGAGCTAACCAGTCATCCTTATATAGGAATCCGAACCCGTGGCCTTGGTGTTATTAGCACCACACTCTCCCAAGTGAGCCACGGGCCAGCCCCATAAGTTTTGTTCTTGATAATAAAATTCTTTTTAAAAAACCTCTTGTCGCTATAGACCTGCAGTGTTTAATTTGGTAGTCACTAGCCACATGTGGCTATTTAAATTTAAGTTAATTCAAATTAAATAAAATTAAACATTCAGCTCCTCAGTTGCACTACTCACATTTCAAGGACTATGTAGCCATCTGAGCAAGTGGTATTGGACAGTGTGAATACAGAACAAGTCTGTCTTCTCTGAAAGTGCTGTTACAGTGTTGCTACAGACTTCCTTGCTCAGCAGTCTTAGTCTGGGCTTCTGTCTCTTTATGTATCAGCTAGCATTTGTAAAAAATGCCAAAGGGAAAAAGACATCCTTATTTCCGTAGTCTCTAAAAGTGCACCAAACTGTTTCTATCCAGACATTAGTCACTATTCCTTTCCTAGCCCTATTGATCATCATAAATTGTTGAAGTTACTTTTCATGTGCCCATGATAACATTTTTCCCTTAAGTCTGGTAGTACTTAATTTATGCCATCTTTTGGCATTTAACACTCAAAGTTTGAGTATAATTCTTGCCTTTTAAGTTAGCCTGTCAGCATACCTGGGGCCTCTAACCTTAGGAAGCATCAATGTGTTTTGAATGAAATTCTGTCTTTTTCTGGGGGAATTATTCTACCTTTCTATTTGAATCAGTGTTTATCTCAGGCTCCTGAAAATTGATAGTTTGCATTTAGCAGTAGCCTATGCCCAGGATGAACCATATGTACCTTCTGATACAGAACTTAGGGTTATAGAAAATCTTAAATTGTGCCAGGAACTGTTATTGTTTAAGTCTGATGCCCCTTCTCAAAAAGAACATTTTAAAAATTCTAAAGAGAACTGAGGGTTTTAATCAGAGTTAGTAGGGTTTCACCCTTCCAGAATACATTTTTTTCACTGTCTGGATCTTTGCTGATTGCATTGTCCAGAATGTGGAGTATCACATTTGAGAAGATTTAATTTTAACCATAACATAAACACAATTTTAATTACAGCCATGCTGAGAAAGTTTTAGGAATGGTAATAAGTTCACTTGAGTAATTGGTTTGGACCAAACTAGATGGAGATAGTCCAGGAAGACATTTACTATAAATGGTAGATTGGATGTGCTTGTCTGATAAATCACATTTGAACTCTGTAAATTACTGAATCACTCAAACAAATTGCTTATTCGTATATTACTAGATGTGCATTCATGTTATGTAAGTATTATGTGGCTTTAGTGGCTATTACTATTTTATTGGTTCCTGTTTCCTTCTTCATATTTAGTATGGGCCAAAAAACCCAGTGTGAGTTTTCCAAGACTCTTTACATATGTGCTTTTCCTTCATGTAACCAGGACTTCCAAGTCCACGATCACTGATACTAAAGAAAATGTGAGGGTGGATAGATTTAATTTTTAAACAGCTTGCCAATTGGTTTTGATAAATGCAGATGTCCCTACCACTGGTGTAAATGCATGATGTTAACATCACCAATGACTCTTACAGGTGGAACAATCCAAAGTTTTAATCAAAGAAGGTGGTGTTCAGTTGCTGCTCACAATAGTTGATACCCCAGGATTTGGAGATGCGGTGGATAATAGTAATTGGTAAGAAGGGTTGGTTTGTCCTCATTGTTTTCCAGTGCGTTTGGGGTTTCCTGGGTGGTTACATTTTTTCCTGCTACCAGGATTTGGAGATGCGGTGGATAATAGTAATTGGTAAGAAGGGTTGGTTTGTCCTCATTGCTTTCCAGTGCGTTTGGGGTTTCCTGGGTGGTTACATTTTTTCCTGCTAAACATTTTGAAACTTCTAATTCTAGCAAAGGTCACTGAACTTAAGTGATATGACTTGGGATCGTATACCAACTTTACCACTTATTTGCCAATGTTGCTCAACTTCTTTGAGCCAATTTCATTTTTGACAAAATGGAGATAATACCTCTCTAAAATTATTTTTAAGACATTCTAAAACAACATAGCTAGGCACAAGAATTCTCATAAGTAATTTAAAACTTTCACTTCACTATAATTTTATTTATTTGTATAAATTATTCTCTGTCACATCCTAATTTAAACCTGATTTTTAGACCTTCAGTTTTTCCATAAATCATAAGGGAAGAAAACACCGTGAAATTTTAGTCTGTAATTATCTTAGTATTTTATAAACAATATTTTTATTTTTATTTGAGTTTCACATTGTTTTTGAGGTAATTTTCTGTAAAATCTCAGAATACCTAAGTTCATCATGAGGTTTTTAATTATTTAAGGTAATCTCTTCATTTGAAATTTAAAACTTTGTAGTATAATTGTTTTCATATTATAAAATGTCTTAGCATTGACATACTTACCAATGCAAATAATATGCTAATAATAACTAATTTAGCTAGGTTTTAATACCAAACAATTTATTTTCATTCATTTGGAAAATTTTGAAATAATCAAGATTTATTCAACATAATTTATACCTGTTTTTGAATCAATATGTAATTTGAAATGTCTTTCACTGGTAGGTTGGTTTTGCCTATTTGAAAATATTGATTATTGTTCTTTAACAGTCATCAGTTGTTCATTCATATGTAGAATTGCAACTTAATTGTTTTGTTTATCTGCATTCTGTAGCTGGCAGCCTGTTATCGACTACATCGATAGTAAATTTGAGGACTACCTAAATGCGGAATCGAGAGTGAACAGACGTCAGATGCCTGATAGCAGGGTGCAGTGTTGTTTATACTTCATTGCTCCTTCGGGACATGGGTCAGTACCTTAATGCTTCTGATACTTTTTTGTTTGTTTGTTTACTATTATTCACCTTTGTGTTCATATTTCAGTAATTCTTATGTCTATGGAATACTTATAACTATACCAGTTATAAAATACCAAATTCCATGTAGATAGAAATGGCTTAGAAAAAAACCTTTTTAAGTCTTATATAAGCTAACATGACTTTACTCCTTAGTTTCTTGTGCATAGGATTTTACCTGCTTTGTAGAAAGGAACAGTGTTTCCACCGTGCTTTGAGGTCTCATTGTGGCTAATTTAGCTTTCATTTTTGACTACTCTTTGCCACTAATTGAACTGTCAAATAAGGAGAAGAAGCTGTAACAATTAGATTTAGGCAGATTCTAAGAAACTCCAAAGATGTTATTTAGTATAGATAGAGAAGATTATCAAAAATGCTTAAGTACCCGTGTTCTCTTGTGCCATTTCTTTCTCTAATAAATTTGTTTGGCTTCTCTTTCACCTTAGTTACCACAGCCACACTGTTGAGGTATCATGTAGTCAATGCCAACCTTCTACTTATTAGGAGTTGAAAGCTACGTGTCTAAACATTCATCTGATCTTACTGTTCTTTTTGGTAGTAGTTAGCCTGTACTCCCTTTCGTTGTTCCTTGTACTTCCTCTTGTCATTTTGAGTAGATATACGTTATGTGTCATTGTCCACTGCAGATGTTTGTAATTATTATTGTATGTGGGATCCGAACCCTCGGGCGGGAACGCCGCCACGCTTCCCAAGCGGCGCACTATCCAGTGCGCCACCGGGCCGGCCCGAAAATGTTTTTTCTTTTATGTCTAATATTCTACAGTATTATTAAAATCACTAAACTGACTCATCTACTTAAAAGGTTCTAAAAAAAAAATCTCAAAAAATATAACACATTATACAGCCTTTTATGAGTACTTGTGTAGCTTCTTCTCGAGTTACTATTATTATTATTTATTTATTATTATTTTTTAAATCATTCTGGCTTAACTTGTTAGTGCTTATTTTCTGGAAGCCAGCAGAGTGAAATCTTAATCTGCAGCATTGGCTTATAACCAGTTTTATTATTTTAGATCTCTTGGACTCTCTCCAAGTTTTAATAATTCTCATGAAATCACATTCCTCCCATCCCCCTGGGCTAAAATCTATTTCTTAAAATTCCATGGAAAATAAGAGGCTTTTCTTAAGAAAAAAAAATTTTAATACAATTCAAATGATGTGCAGTGGCTTTAGACTATTGTTTATCACAGGAGATGTGAGTTTAAAATTTTTGTTTTCTATGTATAAAATGTTTTTAGACAGTTTCTCAGCTTAACTGTTTTTAGAAATGGAGCAAAATTTTGCCCATTGGTATGTGGTGCGGGGATTAAGTGAAAGAATATGACAATAAATTTTATGTAGAGAGTTCCAAACCTCCTGCTCACTACAGACTGAAATTCTATGCAGTCTGATAGATGAACCAGGGCCTTTCTATCTTGTCTGGGTAGTACCTGGATTTCCTTTTTAGAGGGGTCCCATTTTCAGAATAATTATAAATTGGTCCAACAGTATATTTTCATTGCCTCCTACCTCACCCTGTCAAACATCATCACTGGATGTGGGGCTAATTTATGATTTCAGCTATTAAGGCTTTTTCCTGGTTCGCTGTTTGGTAATTGCTATTAAAATTAAAAACTGACTTGGAACTTGAATTTTGAGATGGTGTTTTATCCCTTTAATATTGATTGTAACTTTAAAAAAAATGAGTATCATTCAGTGAGTTTTATATAGTAGGTTTGTTCCCCTTAGAAATACAGACTTTAAAAAAAAAGTTTGTTGTTTGCCCTTATTTATTATGCTATAGACTTTGAGGTTAAATAGTCTTTTCCATCTAATGTGGGTTAAACTTCTAGAAATTCTGAAAAGGACTTCATATTGTTTAAAAACAATATTTATAAACTAAATTTGACTAATAGATGAACTGATATAAAACTAAATGGGCAAAGGAAAAAATTCAAATAGAATGTGATGTACATGTGAAATAAATGTTTTTTGCTGTTGACATTTTATAAGTTTCTGAAGTTTGTATGCTAATTTAAAAGAGTAGGAAGGTTTTATCAGGATATTTATAAGGTTTTACCTTTTTCCTGAAGTTTTATTTTTAAGCTGATTTAAATGGTCTTTGACCCATTTGTTTTATATTTAAGAAGTTAACTCCCCCCCCCCAATTTTCTTGTCATGTTTATTTTTAAATGTCTTTTTCTTTAAAAATTGGGATATTATAATAAATATTGGGCCGGCCCAGTGGCGCACTGGATAGTGCGCCGCTTGGGAAGTGCGGCGGCGCTCCCGCCCGAGGGTTCGGATCCCACATACAGACCGGTTCCCGCTCACTGGCTGAGCGAGGCGCGGGAGCAACACCTAGGGTTGCGATCCTGTTGCCGGTCCCCGGTCTGGTACGGGAGCAACACTGAGGGTTGCGATCCGTTGCCAGACACGGAAAAAAGACAATAAGACAAAAAATAAATAAATAAATAAATAAATAAATAAATAAATAAATAAATAAATAAATAAATAAATAAATAAATATTTACCAAGTATTGTTTTGCTTTTAAATGTAAAATCTTAACTTGGTTTTTGACTTTAATATTTTGTATTAAATGCTTCCAAAACATAAAAATTTGAGAGTAATTGAAGTATGCTTTTTTGTCACTGGTTTAAGCAGGTTTATACCTTTGTGTGAGCCTACAATATAGCTTAATTAGGCAGTGGTAATTAAAATTTGTCATGAGTATAAATTGGAAAGTAAATCATAAAAATTTAGAAATCTGAGATTGAATAGGCTATGACTTTTATATTTAGTGTTGTATGTAATGATTAATGAAAAGAAGCAAAACTTAAATTTTTTTCAAAGGTAGATAGGTTCTTTTAGTTAACACTAATTAGGTAAGGGCACTGTTTGCAGGTAATATAAATAGTGTGGTGGTATTCCAGCCATACTCTCTTTTCCAGTGTTCCCTATTCTCTGAATGCCAGTATCAAATTTCAAAGGATTCAAGATAAAGAGAATTAGAATAGGTGGCAACTGTCTGAATTCTTCATATCTCCTTCTCCCACTCCTCACATGTGTCTTTCTGCCTCACTATCACACTAAGGTATAGTATATGTTAGTAAAAAGGAAAACTTCATTAGTCTCTGAGCCCTAATCCCCCCAATTTAAAATATATATTTATTTCTCTTTGTTTTAAAATATTAGTCTATTTAGTTATTAGTCAATAAAATTAATAACAAAATTAGACCTTTATTCCATTTTTCTCATGATTTTATAGATGTTAAGGAATACCACTTTAGAACGGTATTTCTGTGTAAAATATTCCCATTATCTTTATTTATTCTTGTAGAACATTAGTTTTCAGTCCACAATAATATTCTGGATGTGAGGACTTTTCTTTGGTTTTCATTTAGAGTTACAAAAGCACTTAAGGAGAATCACAACAGCTTACTTTTTTTGTCAACAAATTTTGGGGCACCTTCATAAGTGTTAGATACTGTGTCAGGTGCTGAGGAGACAGATGAGTGAGATAAAACCCTCTCCCTGGAGTATCTTTTAGTGAGAAGATGGGAAAATCAAATACCGGTGCTCCTCCACTTACAATGGGATCAAGCTCTGATAAACCCATCATAAGTTGAAAGTATCAGAAGTCGAAAATGCATTTAATACTCCTAACCTACCTAGCATCATATCTTAGCTTAACCTACCGTAAATGTGCTCAGAACACTTACATTACTATACAGTTGGGCAAAATTATCTTACACAAAGCCTATTTTATAATAAAGCGTTGAATTTTTTATAATAAAGCATGTAATTTATTGAGTACTGTATTGAAAGTGAAGAACAGAATGGTTGCATGGGTACTGGAAGTAGGGTTTCTATTGAATGCGTATATCTGTCCCACCGTTATAAAGTTGAAATCATAAGTTGAGCCATTGTAAGTCAAGAACTGTCTGTACAGAGGCAGACAATTACTATACAGCACATTAAGTGTTGTGACCACTTAGAAAGATGTCTAGTCTTAGGTTAGAGAAGGATTCCCAGAGAAAATTGGATTTTGAGCCAGGTCCAAGTAGAATTAGGCAGTACAAGTAGAAGAGGAATGGAAATGGAGGGTGTTTCAGGCAAGGTGGTAGCTCGTGGTCAGAGGAGCAAAATATGGTGCTTTTGAGGAATTATGAGTTCAAAAAGACTGGCACATTGGAAGTAGGAGATGACAAGAGATAGGCTAGGAGTGCTATGAGATGAGGACCGCTGGAGAATCAATGCGTTCACAAGCCTTGTAGGCCACACTAGCTAAGGAATCTGGGAATAAATCAGCTTTGGATTAGAAGGACCACTCTTGTTGCAGTGTGGATGGTTTGGAGGGAAACCAGATAGGCTCATGTAGTTATCCATTCCAAAGGTCTTGGTGGCCTGAACTAAAGTAATGGAAGTGGAGATAAAAATATAAATACGTTTATTTACTCAGCAGGTCTTGGTGAATCCTTAGAAATGAGGAATAGAAAATTGGGTAGATTGTAGATGGGAAGCATAAAATGGGGGCTTCAGATGAGCTTTTATTTCAAGGAGCCCATGGGATGTCCAGGTAGCATATTCATTGGGTAAACACAAATCTGCAACTTAAAGAGTGAGATCTGGGCTGGGTATGAAGAATTGGGAGTCATTGGCCCATAGAGGATAGTTGATATCCATTGCAGTGATGACAATCATACAGAACATAGAGTAAGAAAAGGAGGGCCTAGTAGAGAATTCTGAGGAGCGTAAAGAGACTAGCTTACAAAGAGGATCCTAAAAAGTACTCTTAAGGGAAAAGAGCTAGTGTGGAAGTAGTAATGTCAGCTGCAGCATAACAGACAAATTACTAATGGTAAGCATTGTGGCGGAAGTGTTTGGTGATCTTCTTGAAGTATAGTGGTAAAGTGGAGGCAGTGGCCAGATAGTAACGGACAAAACAGATGTTGAAGATTCTCTTCTGAGCATTTTGTTTGAGAAAGATAGCTGGTAGCAAGAACTGAATGTGGAGTTGAAAGAGGACTACTGTTTTTCATTTTTGACAAAATAACCTTGCAAATCTTGAGTAAGAAATATAGAGGCAATTTTAGGAAATTCTCCTAGGAGCTTTTGTAGTTTTAACAATTCCTCTTTAGAGCCAAAACCCTATGACTGCAGGGTATACAAGAGCAGGAGTCAAAGCCTCCGTAATCACTCCAATGCTTCTTGAAACCCTGTTCTACGTATCTGTTGCTGGACTAGTAACATCTTTAGAGAGAGTGTTTTTGATAAGTAAAGTGGTTCCGTTGTATTTAATTTAGAATTGGGGATGTGATGAATCTGTGCCCCCAAACTGATCAAGTCAGTCATACTGAATACTGTTTATTTCAGACTTAAACCATTGGATATTGAGTTCATGAAGCGTTTGCATGAAAAAGTGAATATCATCCCACTTATTGCCAAAGCAGACACGCTCACACCGGAGGAATGCCAACAGTTTAAAAAACAGGTAAGCAGAATGGCATTTCTTGTATCATTCATGTAATTTGCAGTTATTTTACTATTTTTAAAATAATATGTTGTAATCCACTTTTCTTCCTGCTTTACTGTATTATCTTTTATACTATATTAAAAATAACTCTTGAAAATAATTTTCTGCCTTAGCTTTCTCCTCAAAGCTCTTATCCATAATCATAGCACCCTAATCTTTTGTCAATTTTTAAATAAGGCTGTTTTAAATGTTGGGTCTTTTTCATAACCACCATCATCCCTCCCCACAGCCTTTAGAATTATTTTCCTAGAATGAATTCCCAGGAAGAGGATTACTCTTTCAAAGGGTATAATTATTTTTATGGCTCTTCCCCCCACCCCCACCCTCGCCTCCAATTTTGCTATGGTGTTTTCCTAAAAAATCAATCAAATTCCTTCCCCCCCCCTCCCCCTTTTTTTTTTTTTTTTCACCCCAGCTCCCAAGTGTCTGATTAGGAGGAGGAAACCAGCACAGAGTCAGTCTTAGTCTTTGTTTTCTGCTCATTTTCACTTCCAATCCTTCCAACTGAAGTGCTGCATAAACCAAGAGGCTTGCCTATCTTTTTCATGCTTTGGAGCTTTTCCCCCCCCCCCCACCCTCCCCCCCGCCTCCAATTTTGCTATGGTGTTTTCCCAAAAAATCAATCAAATTCCTTCCCCCCCCCTCCCCTTTTTGTCTTTTTTCCTGACCGGTAACGGGATCGCAACCCTCGGTGTTGCACCCGTACCACGACTGGCAACGGGATTGCAACCCTCGGTGTCGCACCCGCACCGCGCTCTACCAGTGAGCAGACCAGTCTCCACATGGGATCCGAACCCTCGGCGGGAGCACCACCGCACTCCCGAGCGCCGCCGCACTCCCAAGCGCCGCACTCTACCGAGTGCGCCACCGGGCCGGCCCCAAATTCCTTTTTTTTTCATGGGTATATCTGTTTCACTCTAACTTTGCTATCATTGTTTGTAATTTTTATTTTTAAAACTTTTTTGTAAATGTGGTGCTTAATTATTTAACTTTTAACTTTGTTTTCCAGAAAGGCTGGATGTTTTTTAAAGCAGGGGTTATTTTTAAAATTTATTTTGTGAACATCCTGTTCAAATCTTTTGTATTCTTGAGTAATAGTACTTGGTATTGCCTGTATGCATTAAATGTGTTATTTTTATTCTGAGTGTAGTTCTCTCTCATTTCCACAAGTCTCTCATTTCTCTTTTGTTCCTTATATCTTAATTTTGTTTTCATTGCACTTCAGGAGCTATATATAGTTTAAGCTTTTTTTCTAAATTAATGCCCAAGTATCTCAATAATACTGAGTTAAATGACACATTTTTATCATTTTGTTATATGTGGTTTGTTATATATTACATTTTATGAAATATAGGGTCAATTTTTGGAACCTCTCTTCTATTCCCATAGTCTGTTTTTTTAGGCCAGTGTTATATTTTTTAAATCACAGCAACTTTGTATAATATTTTAAAATAGATCTTAGTCTTAATTATCTTACTCTCCTTATAGCCCACTTACAAAATACTCTATATTTCACCTTTTTCAGTGAATTTTAGAATACTTTGAAACCTGTTACAAAAAGAAAAACCTGTTGAAAGTTGCTTTGAAGTTGTGTTAAATCCAAATTTTGAGAATGTTTTAGTACATTGTTTTTACTATATTTAGTATTTCCACCAGAAGTATATTTTTCTTTATTTATTTTACATTTATTCACTCTTATTTTTATTTTGAAATGTGTTATTTCTGAGTTTTGAATTGTACATGTCTTGATTTGGATTTGTACTGGGAACTTGGAGATAAAGAAAAGATGAATAAGTAATGATTTGTACTTCCAAATTGCTCACATTCTAGTGGTTGTACAATTTTCTTTTTTGTATGCTTAGAATAATGGTTCCTAACCAAGGGTGCCTATCAGAATCATACAGGGAACTTCTTCAAAATGAGTTGTTGGATCTTATCCCTACCAGTTGGTTCTGTAGATTGAAATGGGGCTTTGGCATTGGTTATTTTGAAGATGTTCACTCAGATCATTTTAATATACAACCTCTAACTAACCACTGCTCTTAGAACTAGCTACACTACTACTTTTCTTTTTCTCTCTTAGTCATGTATTTGTCACCTCATTATTTATTCTCATTTTTTAATATGTAGGTACATACCCTAATTGTGAAAGATGTGTGGTCCTTTTTTTTCCAGTGACAATTTTTACTTGTTTACTTCTGTCTAGTATAGTAACCATGTAACACATTTTTAGGGTCTTTTTACTGCCGCTGAGGACCGCTCCCATGAGAGTAGCACCAAAATATTATATGCAGGGAAGCTAGTTCTAGGTATATTAGCCATTTGTTTGTCATGAGTTGGAATAGTGTAGGTAATTGAAAATTATTTGGATGTCTGGACTCTGTTTAGAATTGGGAGTGGTTTGGGATAAGATAATTTAATTTGAGCTAGGTCATTTCTGGTGTTATTAATAAGTTGTCATCTTTGGCTTACTGCATTCACCTTATTAACTCTTGAGCTCCTTAATTTCTCCCTGCGTGCTTGTCCAATATTATATCTGTTGTTGCTCCTTAATTTGTGAATATGCACATGTGGACATGCAAGAATATTTTCTGATCAATGTGCAGGTTTTTCTCCTGGGGCCAGTGCTATACTTAGTTTTACTTACCCTTGCCAAATTCTACTAAAAATTTTGGGGGAACCCTGTTGATTCAGTTGGTGAGTTACATCTAGAGAAAGAATCTCAGTCATTTTAAATAAATGACCTAAAGCCATTATAGTAGAAATCAACCAGAGAAATCTCTTCTAGAATCTTACATCATTTTTGGAACTCTTTTGGTATGATGACTTTACAGCTTCTGAAAGTAATTGGATTGGGTATTTATATATCAACTTTATAGTTTAAAAAAAAAAAAGACCAGTCATAGTACTTTGATTTTAGATTATAGTTTTGTATCATTGAAAAACAGTGAAGGACCTAGAATTGAAGACTCATACAGGAATCCAAGAACTGAATAATAAAAATAAGGCTCGTGTGTGGGGCTCTTTTGCTAATTACTTCTTCCATTTTAGATAATGAAAGAAATCCAAGAACATAAAATTAAAATATATGAATTTCCAGAAACAGATGATGAAGAAGAAAATAAGCTTGTTAAAAAGATAAAGGTAGGTTCACTCCTGTACATACACTAAAATAATTGGAGACTGTAAAAACATACTATAATATCCACAGAAAAGACCAAAAATATCAGTGTTTAAAGTAGTTGGCTTATAAAATGCATACGGAGATTATTTAGTGTTGAACTCAACTTTTCAGTTAACTTTGCTGATTAACTGTTATATATAATAAGGCATTGTATGGGCTGGAGAGGTGAATAATTGGTTTCATACTATGTAATTTTTCCCTTTTAAAAAACAAGCAATGAGAAGGGAGAGGAAACATTCTGTTGTCCTAATCTTTGTTTTAAGAGCCAGACAAAAATGTGTTTCTTTTGTACCTTTATAAAAGCCAAAGAAAAATCCACACCAACGTAATTTTCTGTATTTTAATTTATCCCGGATTCTTAAGTACCCTGGACCTAAAAATGGTGTACTGAATAATAGCATTATGTAGGCAAATAATCTAATTATCTTAGAACAATGAAATATTTATATGTGTTCAGTGAAGAATTTCTGAGGTTTTATAAAATAGCTACTTATATTTCTGGGATCACCAAGAATTTTGAAAGGTTATATTCTGAGTTACTATGGATAGATACAAATCCAAACACCTGGATCTGAAGTTCCACAATTAGAGCTTAGCAAATATAATATTCCTTGCTTCCATTACTGTTAGGGTTGGCCTGTGATCGGGTAGGTGGGCTAGTCACAGGCTTCATTTTTTTCCTCTAAATGCCAGTATGTTTTTTACCCTTTTCCCTCCAATATGATACAGCTTTTTGGAATAATATTTAGCAAATAATTTGACCGGTATGTACCTTCGTATTCTTAAATTTTTAGGTAAAATATAATTTTATTCATTGTTTACCTTGGTGGTCTTACCATGTAATGGCAATGGTGTTTATTGAATGGCCTATAAAATCAAATGTAGAAACTATCAAAGTAATTTTTTTTTTTTTTTTTGCAAATCTGTTGAGTAATGTAACTTTCTTGAATTTGTGAAGACTATAGAGATGTATCTGAACAAGAATACTTTGTTTTATAGGACCGTTTACCTCTTGCTGTGGTAGGTAGTAATACTATCATTGAAGTTAATGGCAAACGGGTCAGAGGAAGGCAGTATCCTTGGGGTGTTGCTGAAGGTAAGGTTTTCTTCAGTGAGTGATTTTCTAAAAGATCTCACAAATGTGATCGAAATTTGTATTTATAGTAAGTAGTATAACATGCTTACTTCATTGATATATTCTAGATTTTAAAGGATAGGTGTGATGTCAGTTTCTTTTTGTCTCGTTTTCCTCATAAGTACGTTTCTGTTTTTCAGAACTTGTTTCCTACTAAGTCAGGCAACTATGCGTTAAATCCTCAAGTTGTAATAACTTAGAAGTCAGTTGTCATTGCCCCACCCTCCCATCCCTATTATTAAATCTATTTCTGTTTTTTTGTTTGAAAACATACTTACAAATCATGAGTTCTTTACATAGGGCCAAAATATTGTTTCAAGGGAACCTAATAAACCTGAAATTGAACATTTTGGAGAGAAGGCCCATCACTTTTATCTGAGTCTTAGATAGGTCAGAGACCTTCAGTAGTGATTGGAAACAACATTTATAAACCCTGTTACAACATTCACAGTCTCCTTTCCTCAGGGCAAAAGTCACCATCTTTGACAGAATGAGTAAAAAAATTCATTATTAAGAGATCCTCTTTATTAGTTTGGTAAGGAGTTTAAAATACCAATAAAACCTTAGTTATAACATCAAACCTCAAAAGTCTTCTTGCAATAGAAGTATTTTCTCAAATTCATGTATATTATATTGGTTTGATCTAATATTTAATCTTCTGTATTATAGTAAGTTGGAACCAAGATTAAGGCATGATTGTCTTATGTATTTGTTGATATTATTATTTTGAGCACTCCCGCACCGCGCTCAGCCAGTGAGCGGGAACCGGTCTCCACATGGGATCTGAACCCTCGGCGGGAGCGGCGCCACACTCCCAAGCGGCGCACTCTCCAGTGCGCCACCGGGCCGGCCCTTAAGGAGGTTTTTCTAAAGTGATTCTGCCCTCACCCACACCACTACAATTTTTAAATGTATTTTCTCAATAATGAGAAAATACATGATTTCCTCTTTTAAAATTTCAAAATTGTTTCCAGAGAGCTCATTTGTTTGGCTTGCATATCTGTCACTGAGGATTAAACTCCAGTAAAGTAAAATTATAGTACACTTGTCTGTCATGCCCTTGAGTACTATGTTAGTGCTAAACCTTAATGAAAATTGATCTAAGTTAGTTTAGCATATTCTGTGTTTTTACTCCCATGTTCCTGTGAAATTTCCTTTAAAAGACTGGGTTTAGTGGAAATAATATATGTGGTTTCTTTTTTCTTATAGTTGAAAATGGTGAGCATTGTGATTTTACAATTCTACGAAATATGTTGATAAGGTAAGTGTGAACAATAATGAAAATAGTTTATTCTTTCCCTGAATCAAGTTAGAGTTGGGCAGGTTTACTTTTTGCCTCCTATAAATGTAGCTCTTTTAAATTGATATCTTTATTCTAGCAGAGAAGTAACCACTGCATGGAGACAACTTGAATTCGTTCTCTAAGGTTGTGAAGTCATTGGCAAAAATATGAAATACTTTATTATTATACTTAATGTTGAGGTTTAATACTGAAATAGCTATGGAAAGTGGAATAAAAAAGGCTTTTGTTGCTTCATGTGAAAAGCTTGGGAAAACTGTAGAAGGGAGGCTACTTTTTTGATTGAGTAGCTAGACTTTGAATGTTAAAAGGTACACAGCTTGATAACTGGTGACACAGCATACCGGAACACAGCGAGCAAAACTGATCTTCCTACTGGGCCAGAAAACATTCCTAAATTGTGCCTTGTGCTCCTGCTGAATGAGAAGAAAAGCCTATGAGAACAGGGCATTGAGGTCATCCTGATTAGAGGGGCCAGTACTTGAACCAGAAAAGCAGCATGCAGGAATCATGAAGAAAAAGTTGAATGGGACTATAGAGACATTACTGGGTAAGAACAGAAAGGGGATCAAAATGAACCTCAGTATTCTCATGTTGAGACACGTTCCTTCCTCTTCCTACGTCTTCCCCTTTTCCCTCTTCTCCCCTCCTCATCTAGCTTCTCCAGTCCCTTACCACATACCCTGTTCAACCTCCAGTTTTGGATGCCTGTCTTAAGTTCATGTCTATTCATTTTCAACGACTGCCCACTTTCTCAATACACAGGAATCTCTTTAGCTATGTAGAGGTAGTAACATACATATGCATGATAATTGGAAATAGTGGAGTAACAGGGTCATTCTCACAAGTGAGTGAAAATTTAAGAGAGTCAGACTGATACCTCAAGAAATACACTAGAGATGAGAGTGAATTTTGAAATCAAATTGGCATGTAATTGGTCTTTTTTCAAAGGAATATATGACCAGGTGTTTTGGGTAGGAAGTACATGATAGAGTTAATTCAGCCGGTGGGGTTGCCAGGCCTCACATAGTAGAAGAGCAAATGCATATGAGAGGGTCATCCTTTGGATTTTCAGAATACAACACTAAAGGTTCCATTACATATTGTTCCCATTCTCTTCCATTCTTAAGGTGTGACTTCAAAAGAACTAATAATGTTATGTTATAACAATATGTATGTAGGGAATATCTAATAAATATTAATTACTATTGTGTTCCCACTGGTTTTTTAATTTTTTATGGTACTTGTTCAGTGCTTGACACAGGCTGTTCTGTAAGTTTTTTTGTATTTTTAAAGTATACAATCAATAATTGCCTACACAGCTGAAACACTGTAGAAGAGAAGGCTAGTTACTGAGACACAGGCTACTTTGAATCTTTGAAGGTGCACAGCTGGCAGCTGGTGAAGGGAACTTCTAGTACAGAAGCATTAGAGAGGAAATTGACCATGCCTGCAGGAAGATTGCATATAGCAAAGCAAGACATTTATGCATGTACGGAAATAATAAAAAATTCTAAAGCTATGTATTAAAAGAAAGGTATATACTTAAGGTAGCTCATATCTTTAAGACAAACACTTGAAGGAAGGAAGTATCAATACCAATATTGCATATGACTGTAAATCCCAAGTAATTGAAATATTTCAGGTCAAAGTTAGGCATAATGGTTGCTTCTGAAAAAAGAGGTAAGTTCAAAGAAGTGTGTCAGTTTGCTAATTAAGAGAACTGGCTGCTATAAGCAAACCAAGGAAGACAATGGAAAGAAGGAAGATTATACAGACATTTTCAGGGTGTGGGGGAGGGTGGTGCAGAAATCAAATAGGGAAGAAAAACAAAAGAGGAGAGAGCTATGATATCAGCAATGGGAAGTAGAAGAGATGAATAAATTCCTGAAAATGTGGGTGAAACAGTATTGCTAATTATCAAATTATTTTTTATAATTATTTTTGATGCTTATTTATAATTATTATATTTGATAATTTTGATAAGAATGAAGGAGTGGGTTGAATCTTAAAAGAATAAAGCATATTTAATCAAAAGGATAAAGTAAAGCATATTTAATTAAATGGAAATAAAGACTTTTATATCCTGAAAAAATCAGAATCAGATGTTCATTTTATAGAAAGGGAAAATCTTTCATTATCTAAAATGTTAGATGACACTAGCAAAATAGCTTAACAATAAGTTCTTCTTATTTTTATTTTATACATCGTGTATTTCACCTACTAAGTACTCTTTTTTGGGTCCTTTAATGATTTTTCAGTGATGCAGGGGTGACTTGTGATATATAATAATTAAAATTACAAGATTGTGTTATATTGGCACAGGTATTTGTTTTTATTAATTGCAACTTAGAGAAACTGGTAACGGTAATTCCAAAAAGTCAACAGTGTTTATTATCTGAGCTTCAATCTTTAGTTATCAGTTTTTTTAAAGTTCCTATTATCTGCTATCTGCAGTGACAGTACAAAAGGTATGTTCATTGTAAAGGAGAGTTTACAATATAGTTGAAGAGGTAATACGGTCTCACCTATGACATTTACTGATAACAAAATATGAGAGACAGCCAAGGAGAAAATTGAAGTACCTTGACTTCAAGACTGGGAAGAGGGCTTCCAGGGCATTGGAACTCTCTCTCCAAAGAGTTCCAATTAATACAATTAACATGAGTATTCAATCTCAGCTACCAGACATACTACTACTACTTGACTTGACTGAAGTGTAGAGCTTTAGATATAAATGTTGTGGTCATAAGAGAGGATGAATTCATTAAGGGACAGAGTATAAAGGGAGACAAAACATGTGGAAAACCCAAACTCAGAAATAGGGGGATTAAACTTCATGGAAATGTCAGATGGTAGATGTATCAGAGTAATTTAATGTCACATCATATTCACAAAGGGGGAGAGAGAGCTTCAAGAAGCCAGATTGTGAAGTAATAGTAAATATTTTCTGGATATAAGGAAAGATAAAAACAGTACACTTTTATGTTTGTCTCCCAGAAGGGAGTTTTGGTAAAGGGGTGAAGATAGAAGATGGCAGATGCAGGAAGTTCCAGGTGGAATGGATGATGAGAAAAGGGAGGATCAAATGGTGCAGAGCACTGCCACATCATGTACATCTAGAACACTGCGTTGGTACAGGATATCCATAGAGCAGCTCAAGTGTTTTCAGCATCTTGAATTATTAAAGAATAATGAAATCATCTCATATGTATTGTAGTTTATCTCATATGTATTGATTTTATATATAATAAAAGTGCTATGAGCAAAAATGGATTTAACCAAAATACCACATTCACTGGACAGTTTGAATAAACTGAAATTTACTCTTAACTAAAATTCCCCAACAACTTGATATGTGAGCTGTAGTGTCCCTTTGTATTGACTTAGTAAAAACTCAGATATTATCTTAGTAATATTGCTAAAAGAAAAGCAATTTCTTTTAGTTTTTATGAGCTGCAGTAATAACTAATCCACTCTCACTTCTCTAGTAAAATTAAATATATACTATGAAGAAGAATACTCTTTTGTAGAAAGGTCATGCTTCAGTTATTGCATTGAGAGATTTATGGCTCTTAAAATCTCATTTGGAACCTGAATTTAATGTCAAGTTAGCGCATTTTATCTTCATCTGCTTTGCATGTAAATGAAGACAGATGAATGCCACCTTCCTTAGGAATAGTCTTGTTTGTTTTAAGTTAGATATTTTGTTTTGGTAAAATTTTGAACTTAGATCAGAGTTTTTTAAATAGAAACAAACTCTTGCTATTTATTTGTGACGGTCAGAGGAAGGCAGTATCCTTGGGGTGTTGCTGAAGTTGAAAATGGTGAGCATTGTGATTTTACAATTCTAAGAAATATGTTGATAAGGACACACATGCAGGACTTGAAAGATGTTACCAATAATGTGCACTATGAGAACTATAGAAGCAGAAAACTGGCAGCTGTGACTTACAATGGAGTTGATAACAACAAGAATAAAGGGCAGCTTACTAAGTAAGTATATATTTTTTCCTCCAGAAAAGGTATTATTTATGTCATGAATGATTATATTGTTTCATTTTCATCAAATTCCTCCTGGCCACTCAGTACAAAATTTGGAAAATGTTCTCTTTGCACAACAGCAGAAATTTATATTGTTGAACTTTGTCTTGGCAGTTTTATTTTTTACTATTTAATTGTTGGAGAAGTTACTGTTTTATTATCTTGTTCCTTAAGTGAAAGAGCGATGCATTCTCTTCTGGTCATTTGCCATCCTCATACACTACACATTTAATAGATCTCCAGCTCCTTTTAGCAATAAATTTTTTTGAGGAAAGAGAGCAGTTACTACCAAGATCTCTTAACCCATTTTACTTTTAAGAGAAACATTGTACATTCTTTTTAAGGAGAGTAAACCTAGAACTTCTACCTTTCAGTAGAAGCTTTTTAAAATAAACCATTTTGATAGGGTTTTCCCTAACAATTATATGGAAACAAAGAACAGGCCCAGATAAAAGGAATATTTAGATGAATGTAATCTTGGTTACTGTTTCTATTTCTGTTGTGTATTTCCAGGGATTAAATTAGCTGGAGTTTGGATTTCTTCTGTTGGTTATTAGAGTGGTATAAGTGACCACCAAGTGTATAGCTTTGCCCTACTGAGTTCATATCTTAAGCTGTGGTGGTTTCATGAGAGTAGAAAGAATGTATGTACGAGGAATCTGGTAGGGTTCTTGGTAACTGTGTCTGTGCCCTACTTTTCCTTTATTTGGGATTGTGGAAGATCATAACTATTACAAAAACCATTTAAAATAGTGTACATTTGTACCTAGATATTATCTACCTTTAGAGGATAATCCTGAAAGATTATCTGTATAAATGAGAAAGACAAGTACTTAAAGTAGCAATACTGTCTTTTATGGTGGTCAGTGTTCCTTACAATGGAATAGAAAAAATGTCCCTGTTATACATTTAAAATACAAGATTCTATTTTAAGTAAGGTTCAGTGCATGAGAAAAAGGCAAGATTTTTTATCTTTCTTTTTAGAAAAATTTGTATTGAACAACTTTAGCACAAAGATAGAAGGATTCATGTAATAAATATTGTTCATAAGATCCTAATCCACTTTAAATGCATTTTCATTAGTTTATGGACTTTTTAACTGTTTAAAAGAAAAACATATGCAAAGTCAATTATAATTTTATATGTTAAAGGCAAATGTACTCCCAGTACACATATTTTTTTTTTTTCCTTTTTGTCTTTTTTTTTTTCGTGTCCGGCAACGGACCGCAACCCTCAGTGTTGCGCCCGTACCGGACCGGGACCGGCAACGGGATCGCAACCCTCAGTGCTGCGCCCGCCCCTCGCTCAGCCAGTGAGCGGGAACCGGTCTGTATGTGGGATCCGAACCCT